GCATCCCTACAAAGCCGGGACGGAGCACGCCGGGTTCTCACCGGACCGTCGAGTGGGAGCGGATCAAATCCCGAAGGAGCGAAAAGACGTCGATGTCCTGCCAAAGCCTGGGCAATCAACAGCACTGAAGAAGAGAGGCACGTTACGGCAGCAACATCCGCGATCGGCCGGGAAAGCAGCCGGCGATACATCCGCGCTCGGTCGTGGAGAAATGTACTCGCGATGGCCCTTTTCGCACAATACCTGCCCATATGGTGCAGCAGTACCACCGTCGACGGAGGGAGGCATCCTTGCTGCATGCTCAGAGAAGCACGTGTTTGCATACTCCATATCCCACAGCGATTTCCTTGCGGGCGGAACGGGAGGCTAGCACACCACTTCCTCTAAGAAAATAACCACAGCGAGTCGGATGAACCTCCAATTGTTTCTATTGGTGGAAAGTGGGAAGCCATGCAACAAACAAGCTTCGTTCCCAACGCAGGGCAGCTACTAACGTACAACACCCCCACGACGAGCACGAGCATCAAATAGGTCGTCGGTGCCCAAACGCTATCATGAACTTGTCCGCAAGGTCGTTCATGGAGCCAGCGCCCTTCTGCACCGTCGCCAGATACGCGACTGAAAGCGAGTCGTTGAATTCCTGCAAACCGGAAGTCAACGGCGGTCCCGACAAAAAGGAGGTCGATTTGGTGAGGCACTCACTGCAATCATGCAGAATCGCAGTGTCCAGGCCTCCACATTGTTCTCTCTAAAATAAATCCTGGTCTAGGATGAAAGCACGCGCTGCAAAGCTCGTTGCTAATAAACCATAATCGACTTCGTAAGTCGCGAGGGAAGGGATTGCTGTACCCTTCTCGTGATAAAAATGTCTCAGGCAGGAACCGCAGGAGGGGGTCCAACCCCCCCCTCCTGTGTGACCCCGGTTGGGTCGTATAGCTAGTAGAAGTGGAGGATAGGGGCCAGAGGGGCAGACGACAGAGTTCAATGATGGGGTGTACTCATAGTCGATGCCGTGTCGTTAGAACATTGACCTCGCATCCCTACAAAGCCGGAACGGAGCACCCCAGGTTCTCACCGGACCAGGCTCTCATATCACCAAGCGCGGAGCGCCGTGAGATACTCGGCGAGTCGCATGGAGGGTGCGCTGCATCCTGCTAAGGGTGTTCGGCATCTTGTGCTTACTTCCTTGGGTATAGATGACAGCTGCGCATGACTTAACTTATTTTCTGGTGCTTTCACTGCCAGAGACAGTTGTAAGCACTGTGTAACTGCGTCGAGGATGCGAGACCATTTCAACACAACGTGGTGCGATTATCGCCCTTGCGCGGAGTGAGGATTGTCCACCCCGCACAACATGATCTACTCGACCACCATTATGGTTACCGCCAAAATAAAAAAAAGAGGGGTAAAACAAAAAACGGTAACCTGGTTGCCGAGTTCACAAAGTGAATTGGCTTGTTTTACAACGTCGTTGCCAAGCGACGAAAACCTAACCCCGTGGCAAACACCGGGGGAGGTGAGGAGTCCAATGATGGGAGAAAAAAAAAAATGTTCTCTCTGCTCCGGTGACGCGCCGAACGCCCAGCCTGTCTGCCTTTTGGTCACGTGAACGACCGGCTTCACACATGCAACATTTTGGGTTGCCAGAATGCCTGCTGCTCTCGGCCGACCCTGCGAACAACTTGCGCATGGAGCCTGCAACGTAAGGCTGACAAAGTATGATGTGCGCCCGATTTGTTTTCGACTCGGTTTAGTGCGGGCGGGTATGCACGGACGGGTTCACCAGAAATGTTAGAGAAACGTCCAAGACTTTTACACCAGCTATCGTTGGAAACGTGAAGCGTTGACACACAAGCACTCACCCGCATGAACTCTTCGGAGAACTGTGCTCCCTCCATCGTCGGGAGCTGGTTGCAGATGCTTGAGATTTGTCGCAGCAGGGGGTAGTCTACGGAGATGTTGCCTGAAGGGTTAATGGCAGCCACGTCAAAACGCGCGTTTTTGACAACACGGACGACCCAGCGGTGCCTTTGTGAGCACAACGTTCACACGACGGCAATCGTGCATCTCACACGGGTAAAGGGAAAGTGCGTGGCAGAATAACATTAAAGCCTGATGAGTGTATCCTCCGAGTCCAAGAAGCGAGCCGCAAGGCTGGCGCTGCCGAAAACCCCAAAGAGCGTCGTGATTTTCGTTTTGCAACATCTGAAACCCTTGGCCTTCGTAACCAAGGACATTTTTTCTATGCATACGATGAGGCAGCCATTGGGGCATGGTCGTGCATTTCAGGGGAAAAAACAAAAATTGTGATTTGAGTCTCACCCTTCTTGGTCTCCTCCAGGAATGTCCGCAGGATCTCAATTCTGGCGAGGAGGGTCCGTAGAGACGTGCTCACTGCGCCCGCGTGCAGATCGACGTCCCCCCAAACAATTAAACGACAGATGAGCAGAATTTCAGGTTCAACCGCCCCCTTCGCGATCCGCATTTGGGCGCGGATAGAACAGGTGGGCACTCAATAGTGGGAAAAGAGCGGGTGTCAACAAACAGATAATGAGATTAAACTAAACCTACATAACCCAGACGAGTTGTTTCTGAACCAGATGCAGAAAACTCACTCGATGATATGCCGTCGGTGGGAGTCGCCTTGGCCACGTGCTCAACGGAGATCTGCTCCGCCTGCGTAGTTTCAAGCTGTGAGACAGCGACGACGACCGGCAGCACAGCAAGGACACGATCATAAGGCGGGGTTTTCGCCCGCCACACACAAAAACGAACGCAATTGGGCCAAATCAACCTCACAGGTGGTACCCGCCAACCGTGATCTTTCGTCCTTTTTCGAAATTAAACGAATGCAATTTTGAACCTCGCCGACAAACACACGAGGACAAGATGAGACATGGGTATGCCAAAAAAAATAACTTAACCCTATGGTAGTGGACTGCAGTCGTCGACATTACATCACAGGTTGCATGTACTCTCAAAACTCGCCTGGAAAGCCAGCTGAACGAAGGTAGACTGTGCTACTCCGTCCAACATGTGCGACTCCGACTCGTGAATCAAAACTGGTAGTTCCTTAGACCCTTGAGCAGGGCTAGGGTTCATTAGCAAGAAGAGCGGAGACGAGTTGAACTTCGTCATCTATAACACGCGATCGGGGGGCAGGGACGGGAGCGGGTAGATCAGCGAGTGTGAATCGGTAGAAAGTGGCATGAAGGTGCCCTTCCGAGAGCAAACCCGTGTTGCGTCAACATCCACTTGATGTTCCCGTGCAACACAACGCAAGGTTTTCTGGGGTAAAGTTCAAGGCTTAGACCGTTGCAACGCGGATTCTCGTCAATTATGAACTTCTGAGCAGTTCGTCACTAGGTGCACACATCTTAAGTTTCGCCACGATGCCTGGTGAATACCGCTGCTCAACTTGAAAATCAGCAAGGCTGTATTCTCTTTGGGCGATGGAAAAAGGGCCCAACCGAAAGTCACATCTCCACGGTACGGTAGTCAGCTGTTTCGACATTTCGACAGTCGAATTGAGCAGTCGAGCAACATTACCTTGCGTAATTCTAGCCGTGGGCCAGCAGAAAAAAGACCGACGACGTTACCCGTGAGGTAGGGCATGAGTCTTACCTACCTACGCAGCGCGCGTGCAACCCAGAGCAAAAATATTTTCCTGCCTACCCCGCGAACGAGGAATACCCGTCCCGTCGCTTCGATCATGTATCGTGTGTGTATGGTGGTCTGACCTGGCGTTGGATGCCCAAATCCAGCTCCGTGACTTCTGTGCCGACTGTGTACCACCCCAGTATCTCGTACATCGGGTAAACCGCAGTATCTTGAGAGCAATGCGCAACCGTGAGGAATTCGACGGAGAGAGGGCATTTTGGTGACGAATGGTATCGTATCGACGCCATATAAAACAACGCGTGGCGGTGGTGGACTTGTATTTAACCTTAGGTGAAAGGCAAACCTTCAGGCGCGAGCTGCTTCAACCTGTTGTTCCTGCAGCACTCGAGTTTTCTTTACACGAGTTGGAACACCGTCGCCGCTCTTGGAGCGTATTCCGGGTCCAACATTGAACGTTCAGATAGCTTTAGGGACTGCCGAAGGCGATAACCCCTAGGCGATTGGAGAGCGAACACAACCTTAGGGAACAAATTTCAAACGGAACAGTCACGGAAACCCAAAGGTGGCAACTCACATAGGTCCTTCTGCTTCTCAACCAAAGCTTCGTTCAATTCTAAACCGTTCGCCCCCACAGCGGTGCACGCCACCTCCATCGCATCGTAGATGCTCACGTCGCGCCCATTCTGAGACCCAAACAGGAGACCGATCACGCGCCCGCCGGCTTCCTGGGCCCCACCTCCCGTCGAGACTCGGGTGTGGTGGTCTGAAATCGTGATAACGGTGAGCTGTGGCGTATGGCATCGAGGCAGACGACAGTTTCAAGGGGGGGGGGGGGGCTCATAGTCGTGCATGCTGTAGTCGTTAGACCATTGACCTCGCATCCCTACAAAGCCGGAACGGAGCACGCCGGGTTCTCACCGGGCTCTCACATCACCAAGCGCGAAGCGCCGTGAGATATTCGGCGAGTCGCATGAAGGGTGCGCTGCATCCTGCTAAGGGTGTTCGGCATCTTGTGCTTACTTCCTTGCGTACGGATGACAGCTGCGTATGAATTAATTTATTTTCTGGTGCTTTCACTTCCAGAGACAGTTGTAAGCACTGTGTAACTGCCTCGAGGGTGCTTGACCATTTTAACACAACGTGGTGCGATCATCCCCCTTGCGCGGAGTGAGGGTTCACCCCGCACAACATGATCTACTCAACCATCATTATGGTTACCGCCCGAAAAAAATAAACGGAGGTAAAAAGTAAGAACCGTAACCTGGTTGCCGAGTTCACGAAGTGAATTGGCTTGTTTTACAACGTCGTTGCCAAGCGACGAAAACCCAACCCCGATGGCGAACACCGGGGGGGGGGGGAAACGGAAAAACAGTCAACCGGCGCTACGCTACGGCGAAGGGAGGTGCTTCTAGTGCTACGAAGAACTACACTAGGCTGTACTGGACATTTGTCAACGATGTACAGCAGTGGGCTGCCTTCAGTATTGCCGATATGGACCAGACCAGTATACTATTCAAAGTACTTAATGACTTGGTGATTCAGTCTGTGCCCGCCCAAAACACCGGCACTACAGCAGTGCGCCTGTTGTTCAACCAGCACACTGAGGGAGGGCCCTTGACTGTGCCATGACCTAACCAAAGAGAGGCTGCTACAGCAGTGTTGTAATGTGAGCGACGTTTCCCACAGCAATACGGCACGGGTTGTTGAATCGAGTGTGTGCCGTCGCATGGTCGACTCAAAGTTCCATTTTGTGAGGACCAGTGCTTTTGAACGACAACAACCCCAATACGGAGAGGAGAGCACATATGCATACTTCATGTACCGCGCTGTAAAGTCTACTTCTACAGCATTAGTATCTTGTCTGGTGGTATCCTTCGCGTGGGTGCGTCGGCGGGGAATGTTGTAGAAGATGGATTTGAACATATGAACAGCAGCAATGACTCCGCCTCTTCACAAGTAAACAATTCCACACCAATCGACCGTTGAGCAATCCTGCGCCTACCCACGTACCGCCATAGAGGCATGGGGGGGGCGTGAGAAAGAGCAAGCAAGCACTGCTGAGACACCGAGACATTGACACACACCGGATGTAGCATGATGTTGTTGCCTTTTTTCCCCGGAGCAGAAGCAGCGGTAGCAGGAACATTTTGCTCTTCACCCTTCTTCTCTTCTACGCCCGCGTCAACTTCCATGGTGTCTGCCATACCTTGCTCGGAGTAGGAGTAACAAAGAGGCGGGTTGTGGGCACTCTCTGTAGCTCTGTGGGTGTCAAATGTATTTGGAAAAAAAAATGTATGTCTATGTGTTTCGCCTTTCACTTTCGCTTTGGTGGGTGCTCAGCAAAAATAACGGAGGGGTGGCAAGAAATATTCAACTCTGTTGTACCCCTTGTTCGAGCACCAAATCAACAACCTGCCAGTCTGCCAGTGTGCGGAGCATGCGTTGTGTTCCCTAGCACGGGCAGTCGTTTGTGTGCTCGGTGGCAGTTCAGGGGGGAGAGAAACCCACATGGGTCCACGAAAGAAAAGCTACAACTACGGGACCTTCATCGCTTCCCCTGGGCATGGGGCGGAGGAAGATTATGGCGGGAACACAGCCAGCTCGTACCAAAGGTTACTGTCAGCGCCCGCGCCGGCTTTTTCAGTTCACCACGACCAGGAATATCGCATCGCCTTGCGAGAAGACGGGATGTTTGGGCTGCGTTTAACGAAACACGGCGGGAAGGTAGTCATTTCGGAGATGGACGACGATGTAGCACGGGTGAGGATCGGGTTTTGCACGGCTTCCCAAACAAAGTGTGTCGCATGAGACAGACGCAGCTGGAACGTTCGTGTGCTCACGAGCCCCGCCTCCCTGCCTCGCGCCGGGTCGTTGCTTGAAGACGTGCGTAGCCGTACTTGCGACACTCACCCGCGTAGGTGCGGGTAGCAAGCTCCTTTGCTCAATGTACTGGATATTTGGTTTCTGACAGCGAGTGCTGCGAGAATCGGAAGTTCTCGTGCGGTGCATTTGAAGTGAGAACACTTAAATGCGGAGGTCCACGTAAAGCACACGCATACATGTACATGCAGACTCGTAGTAGGCCCACCCCGGTCCTACGCACGTGCATGCTGAATGTACGACTTCGGTACAGCTGGTCAGCCGGGCTTTTGATCAATTTCCTCGTTCACGACGTGAAGGGATTACACACGCGCTCGGGCGAGTTTGCTGGCGCCACAAAATCGTGTACAGCAGCAGCACAGCAGTAGTGTCTCCCTGGCCAGGAGGGCCGAAGCAATGAAGACATTTAAACTCCTTTGTCACATTGAAGACGATGTGCCCTGGTCTCAACTTATATCTGCAATAGTCAGGCATGGTGTTCCTCAAGGGCCGTTTGAGAATGGGCACCTTTCGTTTCCAAATTTCCAAACTCCAACCAACTGGATTCTCCATGGCTTGGAAAGACCAGGAAATTTGAAAGATAAATGAAATTTGAAGTTTGGAAGCGCTGGTGCCCGTGTATGGCGAAAGGGGCGTGCCTTGCTTTGAACTCTCTGCTGTATGCATACAACGATTTGAAATAGTTCGAACTTCATAGGCGAGCCGTTTAAGAAAGGCCCTTGTTCCCATCATGTTGTTTTATTGAGGTTGTGAAGTAAATATCGTTTGCTTCTGTATGTACTCATTGTTTTGTCATGTTTCGTCTCATTTCCCAGGCTCGTGGGTTGTGCGAGGGCGACGTAATTACACATATGGATGGCGAACCGCTTTTCGGTTCGTTGAAAGCCGCCGCTGAATGCATGGACCAAGCGGGAGATTCGCTGTCGCTCCGAGTCCAGTCCGGCCACAGCAACTCGCATACTGGGGATGGTCCGAGGAAGGCCAAGTATCATGTCGTGCAACACGTCGTTCGCCAAGGGGACTCTGTCGAAGCCCTCGCTGAGCAGTACGGGGTCACGGCCGACGAAGTCCGCATATGGAACCGGAAGTATTTTCCCGTGGGAGAGCCTGGATGCCTGTGCCCGGGGCAGGTGTTGACCCTGCGCGACACTACGGCAGACCAGGCGAAGGACCGAAATAGGGCAAGCCTGGAGTCAACCGCTCGCAGACGAAAATCGGAAGGAGATGGTGCGAGGAAGCGGATGCTGTACCAAGTGCGCGAGGGGGACTCGCTCAAGTCGATATGTGCGCGGTTGAAGCTGAAGGAGGCGGAGGTGCGTGGGCTGAACCGTGGCGTGTTCCCTGTGGGAGAGGCGGGGGTGGTACTTCCTGGTCAAACGTTGACAGTCTTCGCGGAAGATTGTGACATCCTTGTCACCGACCAAGGGGATGAACGTGCGTTCATCCAGGACTTCACTGGGCGCAAGACTAAGCGCTCTTCTTTGAGTCTTGGGATCCGTGGAGCAGGAATCATGGGTTAATGGGGCGAAAGATGTAGCGTAGTTTATTGCCATCGTTTTCGGCACCAGCAATATCCTTTGCACGGTTGTGTAGATCACGAAAACGTTCCATGCGCTGAAATAAACCAGATGCTGTGTAACGTGGCACCATACCCCAGGTACTGCAGACAAGCTGGTTCAGTGTGAACGCCAGAAAGACATTCCGCACCACGTGCCGCACGTAATACCTAGGGCAAGGGAGCAGGGTGACATGCCTGTTTCTTTTCTCGAGGCCATAGATTGTAGTGGTGCAAGAGCGGATGCTCAATCAGTAGCTTTCATATTGATGATCATTAAATGCATGAATTTCCATCGTCGTATTTGGTCAACCTCGGCATGTTCGATGCTGTAGCGTCCCCCGTGTTCCAGGAAACACAACGCAACGGAGTGATGCACGTTCTTATTGCAGGGTAAAGTCTGCCGCGATGGCAAAAGAATGTGATGTTGGCGTCAGATTTCGATTTGTTTTTTTTATTGTATATTATGTTGTACATTGCAACAGTCAGTATCTCAAAGAGCGCCGTGGTGTTTCTGACGTGGGCATGGTCCAACCTCCCTCAAAATTTGTAGGTCAGAAAAAAGTGTTGCAAATGAAGCACGTTTTTTGGAAAGTTGTTAGCCTGGCTTTCCGTCTGTTCGTTCCACAGACCGAGACCAGCGCATGTCGGTTTGAAGTCTTCGGTGCTGCGTTCATCAAAGTAGTATCCCAAAGTTTGTATGGGCCACTCAAGCGAATCATATACCCACACATCGAACTTTCATACTTGCTCAAATATTTGGGGGTCAGTGTGCCCGCGTTACCGGCTAAAGGGTTCAATAGAAACGCCACACGTTCACGCGGTTACTCGTTAGGACCTTGGCCTTTGCTTCTTTTTACCCGGTGTCGGGGGTCCCGGGAGGCCCATGTGTGGCCCCGAAAGATCCTTGAAAGGTTTGAATTTCCGCTAAGAAAACGTGTGAAAGTTTCACCGTGTAAATCAAAAAAAGTGTGAACGCATGCGCAGGAAGGTCTTGCTCAGAACAGATTTGTTGGGTCACCCGAAACTGGCTTGAAGTTGGCGCCTGGGCCCCCGGTGTTACTACTACGAGCTCAATCGTAGCCTCAACAATTGATTTAGAGTAGACACATGTGTTCCGTATTGACAGCAGCCGTTTCCAAAGTAGTGGGTTCGCCTCGGGTGTTCCAGGTGTTACAAGCAACGTTGTTTCCCAGTCTCCCCGAGTCGACTGTCGGCATCGAGTGGATATTTTCAGGAGCCTGCCCTCAGAATTTGGGTAAAACTGCTGTAGTTCGAGTTGCGGGGATAATCTTCACTATTTCTTTCTGTTGCGCCCAACACGCGCCAGTGCTCGTTGACAGCTACGCTCATGGAGGGCGGGATATACCTGCTACACAACTCTCTCGCTCTAACATGTGGTGGTAGGCTCCAAATCATCACGAACGTACGCGCAACTGCGTGCGATGGTGTTAGATGGGACGTCGGTAGTCATGGAAGGAAAACCAGTGTTTCCAAACTTGCCACCGGAGGCGTTCACTCGGATCGTATTGATGTCAATGAACTTGTTGTCGGGCCCTGTTGTGTCCGCTGAAATACATGTAACTCTAAATTGGAACGTAGAACGGCTTCCCCTGGCGACACTTAAGAGTGCTCGAATACGTCGGTACACATGACACATATGCAGTAGGCTCTCAAATTAGGGTATTTCCGTTTCTTCCACCACATGAACAGGGTCGCCTTTCCTCCATATTGCCAGCGGAAACGCTGGACGCCCGCGATGCAAATTTCTTGGCCCAAGTGTTGACGCCGCACCGATATCCCCTTTGGGGTTCATGGCCATGACGGCCACGGTCAAACGGCCATGCATCCGGTTGACCTCTTCCACAGAGCGACCGGCAGCCGATCGTTTAACCGTTTCCTCCAGCCTGGCGATACCTTTTTTGCAGGCGAGTTGCGGGGAGTCGCCTCCACGCATGAACTCCACAACTGCAAAACTCAAGCAGGTGCGAAGAATTTCCTCTCCGTCCCCCGTCGCCACCGCAGCACCCACCGTAGAGTCACAGTACAGCCCGCTACCGACAACTGGGGCGTCTCCCACGCGACCAGGGTGTTTGAATTTCCATCCCGATGTGGACCTGCGTTTCCAGAAAAATGGTTGAGGATCACCAACAACGGTGCACATCGTTCTAGCATATTTGGTGCGAAAACAGTCGACAATCCTCATCGAATTCGATACCAGTGGGAATCGAAACGGAGCAACATAGGATGAATGCGCACAGGGTCGCACGGGGATCTTCATATTGCGCATGGCGCTTGCACGTAGTTTGTTCCAACACAAGATATACGCATTCGATGTAAATTACATATTTGCTCTTCAAACCGTGAGCTGAAAGGCGAGATTTCACGCTTGGAGATATCACACGAGTAATGTTCGACGCAGAGACAAGGGCTGCGTGTCTCGACTATGGACTGTTGCTCATGTCACATCATCCTCTCACGCTCTGACGCCAAATACTACACGGACGACAGCAGCTTGCTCTCTCACGTTCCAGCACAGAGATTTCCGTCGTGATCCAAGCAGATGACACCGACCGTGTCGTGTGAATCTCCTCTCAGATCCGAGCCTTCTTCCTCCTGATGCTGTCGTCTCCAGTTCTCAAACTGCTGTTTAGCATCATCGGTAAGGGTCTCTGCCGCCTCGATGCCGTTCCTAACAGCAAAGGTTGTCGCCCCCTGCGAGAAGCCAGTATCATGTTTGTCTGTCGATGGATGGTGTGCGAAAACAACTACCCACCAAAACGAGATCAATGAACGACGCTAGAGGGTGCTCAGTGAGATCAATTTCCACAGGGCACACAGCAAGTGAGTTACCCCACCGGCAACAACAGCACTCAGGGGACTAATGTGTGGTGAACTTTCGAGAACTGCTCGCAGAAAACTTTGGTGGATGGCATTACTACGACACGATATCATCGTGCTGCCAACTCACTTCACCCGCAAGAACGCTGTGTGGGCTGCGCTCCATCACCACCCGAGCGGCTGAGAAAGCCTTCACGACTCCCCTGCTCTCCGAATATACGTTGCGCCAGGGGGGAGGCGAGGAACAGGAAGTCGAAGGGGGTTGCTTCTGGTCGGGGGCGATGTCCCAGGTATCGAGCTACAGTCAGGCTCAGCGCACCATGCCCACCCTCCTACCCTCCTGAGTGGACAGACCGATGTTGCTGTGGACGGTTTCATCTCGATTGATTGTCAGACACGCGCAATTGGGCTGTTCGAGTGCGTGTCATGGGCGGAGAATTCTTGCCTTACTGCCAACACAGCACCGTATGACATTGACGTGCCCTCCATGACAGCAGCGTCGAACTCCATCTGGCCATTCGCATTTGGCAACCCTCCAAGCCCCACAAAATATTGGTCTTGGGTGTCGAGTTCGACCGCGGTAACACCTGAAGACAAATACGCCGCGTGCAAGTAGATTCAAACGCGTGGCACAGACATCGGAACTCACGTTACTACGCTGTAGAAAAGAAAAATGTGCCGTATTTTAGTCGTTTTGGACGGAGCCTCATAATCCATGAACGACGATGTATAACAAGTCATGTAGTCTAAAACCAAGATAAAGCGAACAGACACACGCACGTGCAAACTTTTTTTCCTGACTGAAGCCATATATTTCAGGCGAGATGAGAAATCTCGCTTCGCTCGAATCATACGCATGGCGTTTGACCGGTTATAGAACGTAGCGGCAGCAGGGGATGCATCTTGTTGGTGGACATTCTCCAAGCGTCACACTCCGCTCCCGGACTGGTGTCTATACATTCTGCGGTGGAGTAGCAGATGGAGTACAGCAATTGCAACAAGATGACCTACCGAATGTGACAAGAGATACTACACCCCCGGACGATTTTCAAAGCAGATGCAGCGGCAGTGCAGAAAATGGAGGCGTTGAAACCATCTCGCCGAGAGCTTTCCAAAACGTGTCGTATGATTTGTGCATCCTCTCTTCGTGTGGTAAAATCGAGCTTAGTTCGGTCCAGGGAAGTGTGGTATCTTGTGTCATCTATTGTATTGTTGTACGCTCCGAAAGGGGGCATTGCACATCATTGCCCAGGAAGACCGCGATACATTGACTATTTGCGGTTTTGGTGCAGCGAAGAATAGGTTCAATTGAGGTCAAACGTATGTTAAGCACTTCCTGATTATTATACTGACGTGTGTAACAGCCAAGCACGGCAGCAGTTGTCCCAACCTACTACTCTGTACCGTGTTTACCTGCTTCCGTCGCGTCGAGTGCAGTTCCACCATCCGCCAGCAATTCAGCAGCAGCGTCGACGGCAATTTTGCCAAAGCTCCAAGTAGCAATAGCAGCCGGCAGCACTTCCGTACTGCTCACCTCGGCCTCAACCCCATCACGAGGCCTCCCTCTACTCCTGCTGGTGCTGCCACCGCCGCCGCCGCCGCCGCCGCTGCTGCTGCTGCTGCTGCTGCTGCTGCCGCTGGCGGTGTTGCGCCTCGAGTTCCGAGCACTAGTCACTGCACCCGAAACGACAAGAAGAAATGATCCAACTAGGGCCACCAATAAGCTCCTTGAAGTTCTTGGCAGGCTAATCGACATGTTCCGCTTCTTTGTGGTCTCTCTCTCTCTCTCTCTCTCTCTCTCTCTCTCTCTCTCTCTCTCTCTCTCTCT